ATAAATGTGTTGTTTTGTTTTTATTATGTTTTGTTTTCTACCCATTTTCTAACTATTTTCTACCCGTTTTCTACGCATTTTCTAACCACTTTCTACCAATTTTCTACCCATTTTCTAACCATTTTCTACCCGTTTTCTACCAATTTTCTAACCACTTTCTACCCATTTTCTACCCATTTTCTAACCATTTTCTACCCGTTTTCTACCCACTTTCTACCCATTTCTACCCATTTTCTACCCATTTTCTACCCGTTTTCTAACAATTTTCTAACCATTTTCTACCCATTTTCTACCCATTTTCTACCCATTTTCTACACATTTTCTACCCATTTTCTACCCATTTTCTACCCATTTTCTACCCACTTTCTAACCATTTTCTACCCATTTTCTACCCGCTTTCTGCATATTATTAGTGCGCTCAAGCTCGTCTCCGAAAGAAAATCTTTAACCAAAAATAAATTAAATGTGTGTGTGTTAATTCCACAAATATGAACGGGAAGTTGAAAATGTAATTGTCGGCAGCACCGAGTTTGGAAAAAAATATACATACGATTTTGGGTAAATAAAATAGATGCATTTGAGATTATACTTCAGTTTAAAAGTAAATGTGGGTGTTTGCAAAAAGCTCCAAATGAACGTGTAGACTCTAACTATTTATGTTCTTTCTCTACGACTAAATATTAAAGTCGAATTGAATAAGTTTTTTCACTAGGTGCCTTCATGAGGTCATGCTCTTAAGCAATCTCGTGTACACGTAAGCTAAAATCAATTGCAATTAAGTGAGCAAATGAAATTTATTTCAATTTTAAACGGCAATTTTATTTCAGTTTGAATTCATAAATCATGTTCAATTGAGCGCTAATTTGGTAAGGATTGGATTTTTTTTTAGTGTGTTTGAAAATTTAAGAGAAAAATTAAAGAAATTCATAAATGCAAAATCAGAGTTAATGGCTTAAACCAGGAGTTCTCAAAATAGGTGGTACAGATCTATTTACCCTCAAACTCTTAAAATCGTACACTATCAAAAAATCATTCAATACATTATCTTAATAGTAAAAAAAATAATAATACATTATATATAATGGATACACCTCAAAATCGTACACTGTACGCCAAAATCGTAAGCGATAACAGGTCTGGCGGTATCGCTCCCTGTGGCGGTGGGGTGGGATGTCCCTTGGGGCGGGGGCAATTATTGACTCCGGTGATACCGGTGGATATTATTTATTGTTATCAATGTCAGTTGTTTAAACAAGGCTATTTGTTATTTAATGTACATGAGGCAGAGCCTGGTCAGAGATAGTCGAATCTAACTAGTTGAATAATAATGGATTTTATGTATTTTTCCCGAAAGTTTTTTTAGCCAAAATCAAAGTTGTTTATTCAGAAGTAAAATAAACGTCAATTCTATTTTTAAGGTTATAAAGTTGTGAATATTATTTTTCAGTTCCTTGATATCTTTACTTTGTACTGTTTCATCCAAGGCAAACATCTGGTCGTTAAAACTGAAATTGACAACTCGAGTTTGTGCTTCGTTTTTAGACGTTTTTTGTCACGGTCAAATTATTGAAAATAATTTTTTTTTAAAAACCACCAAAATAATGTTTTTCGTATAAATTATATCCATGCAATTTTAAAAGTGTACATTAATATTCTAGTGTACCACCCGCTTGTACATCGCAGATTTATTTTACTCTCTTGTTCGGAAAAAGAAAATATGAGAAAATGTTACTCACCAAACGCACTAGCGATATTTTCTAAAATTATTTATCGCAGTTATCGGGAAATTTATTTCAAGAAATTAGTGGCATCATATTTAATTGATCTTCAACAAAAATCTGATTTTTTGGGGTGGGGCTGAAAATTTGATAGAGTGTGTTGTCAGCGGCAACGAGTTAATGTGCAAAGTTTCAGCTCGATAGCTTGTCGGGAAGTGGGCCCAAGAACCTTCTGAAGATTTTGCCCTAAACAAGCAAAATCGAAGTTGATATAAAGGATTTGAAAATGATCAATGCTTCTCTCAGTGCTGACCCCAAAGTTATAAGACGTTACTTAGATGTAGTCGGAATTATTTTTAGCTTTCAATGAAAACAATTTAGATTTATGAGGAGTTGATGTCTATCTTATTAAAACGAAATTAACAATAAACTCTAATTTTATGTTATATCTAAATGAACGCTGCTCAGTTGCGATATAGGCCTATGTCCAGACCCGTCGGACCTAGAAGAGAAACAAGTGTCTGTGTGTGTAGGGGTACTAAATGATAAGGTAATTGGCGAGCGCCACTAAGGTTGTTGTTACCCAGTTTGGTCAATCCACAATGTTACCTTCCTCCTTTCCAGAATGCCCAAAATGGACCGCACTGAGCCTGCCGATTCTGCTGACACCCTTCTCTGCATGGTGGCTACATTTTCTGTATGCAACCTGATCTCGTTGCAATCTGATCATATAGTAACCCTGATTTTGTGGTACCCTGAGCTGGAGGCACCCTGATCTTGTGGCACCCTGATCTTTTGGCACCATGATCTTGTGGCACCCTGATCTTTTGGCACACTGATATGGAATCACCCTGAGCTTGTGGCATCCTGATCTTTTGGCACACTGTATGGAGGCACCCTGATCTTTTGGCACACTGATATGGAGGCACCCTGATCTTTTGACACCCTGATCTGGAGGTACCCTGATCTTGTGGTACCCTGATCCTGAGACACCCTTCCCTTCTCATGTAATTAAATGAGTTCTGTTTTGAAACGGATTTGAAGGAACATTGTCACAATTGTAATTTTCCATTTGGTACCACTGCTTTTAATGGTGTCATCCGACGCGGTCCGCAGCGCCCCCCCCCCAACCCGTGAAGGTGTCATCCGATGCGTTTCACAAACCCCACCACAGTGACGCTATTGATTAAAATATCTTGTGACCAATGTTCCCTTTAAGCTGCGGGGCGCGCAGCTATCTCACAGACGCCGCGCAGCAGTTTTGAGTATCCGCGCAGCAAATTTTTCCATGTAAGTGTGCGTTTGTGTTTGTATGCTGTAAAATTATTTTGCACACAAAATAATGATGCTGTAAAAATGTGCACACAACTGTATGATTTGACACACGAACCAACAAACCTTAGAGGGAACATTGTTTGTGACCATTTGAATATGGTACATACAATTGTATCCCAGCGATTTTTTGGATTTTATTTAATTGAAATTTTAGAATGGGTAATAAATCCATCTTTAGTTGCAAATGCATTTGGTAACCGGCTATTTTGATGAATATTTAATTCAAAGCAGAACCCAACGCTTAGAAAATTGTACTTTGGGCTTCAGGTGAACAATTTATGTCAAGATTATTAAGGCTACTGTGCATTGAGGTCAAGACGCTCTGTGTTGCTAAGGAATATAATCCATACGTCTGGAAGTTTTGATTTTGAGAATGTTTTCAAGTTACCTTAAACCTGACATTGTTGAAATGGTATCGCTTTACTAACCCCCCAACCCCCCCCCTCCCCAATTGCATACAGTAAGCTTATGAGTAAGCTCATGAAGGTTGGTTAGAAGTAAGTTACTAATCATAATCCTAATTTTTCTTTAAAAAGATGTGGTATTAATGGATCAAGTTCATTAAGTTATGAATGGAAGTTAAAAATATATTTTTTTTAAATTTTAATTGAACGTTCCATTACATATATAGCTGTTATATTGTATTGTGTTATCTTCCTAAAACAGAATTGAGGTAACTACTGTCCTGGAAATAAAAAAATAAAATAAATATACCTGCAAATATTTTTTTATGAGGTAACGGTACTAGGAGCAGGTTTATGGTGCCAAAACAAAAATTGAGAACCACTAGCTTAAACTTTAAAAAATTGAAATTTTATTTTTAAGACACGCAATAAATTTCAGATTGAATTTCAACAACAAAACCTGACTTGTTAAACTACCTCTCTCTGTTCTCGCTTGTCCCTTTCTGTGTAAATGTGTGGCTCCAACTTCGATTTTAACATACAAGACGTCTCAAGCCGTTGTAAACACTTGGAGGATTTAAACACACTGACCTTGAAAAGGCAATAATAGGGATTAATATAAATTCTATTATCCTACATGAACACATAATTAAATAAAAATTCTATTATCCTCCATGAATACATAATTTAATATAAATTCTATTATCCTCCATGAACACATAATTAAATAAAAATTCTATTATCCTCCATGAATACATAATTTAATATAAATTCTATTATCCTCCATGAACACATAATTTAATATAAATTCTATTATCCTACATGAACACATAATTTAATATAAATTCTATTATCCTACATGAACACATAATTAAATAAAAATTCTATTATCCTCCATGAATACATAATTTAATATAAATTCTATTATCCTCCATGAACACATAATTAAATAAAAATTCTATTATCCTCCATGAATACATAATTTAATATAAATTCTATTATCCTCCATGAACACATAATTTAATATAAATTCTATTATCCTACATGAACACATAATTTAATATAAATTCTATTATCCT